AGCCGGGCGGCCGCGCGCCTCCGCGGGCCCAAGGTGAGCGCGCCCGGCCCGGCCTCGCCGCGCCGCGCCTTAAAGGGGCGACGCCGCGGGGGGAAGGGAGAGCGGGGGGGTCCGCTTCTTAAAGGGGCTACGCGGGGGGCGCTGCCTTAAAGGGGCCGCGCGGTGGCGGTGGCGGGAGGGGGATGGGACCGGGGGCACCGGGACCGGGATTGGGGTCGGGATCGCTACCGGGACCGGGGTGGGCGCGGGGCCGCAGCGGCAGCACGTGGTGGGAAGCGGCGCCGGGCGCTCCCGCCGCAGCCTCCGCAGAGCCGGGGGCACCGGGAGCGGCTCGGGGGGCTCCACACCCGGGGGGCTCCGCTGCTGCCGCAGCCCCGCCGGGGGTCCCGGTCCCGCCGCTCCCCCTCGTTGTGCAGCGCCCGGTTTGGGGGGTCCCGGACGCCCCCCGGGAGCCCCGCACCGGCCCCGGGAGGCCGCGCCCGGTGGAACCGGCGGTAGGGGGGGTGGAGGCGGGGACCCTCCCCGCCGCCGCCGCCCTTCCCCAGCGCCTCGGTGCCGTAGAGGACATCGGGGTCACAGCGAGGGGACCCCCGAGCGCCGGTACCGGGCTGGAGCGGCCCCGGCCCCGCCGCCGTGTTTGCCTTGGCCGCGGCCCCGGCGTTTCGTAACGGGCCCCGCGGTGTCTTTATCGACCGGGCGATATTTTGGGATATTCCCGATGCCCCACTTGGCCCTGCTCCCCCGTCAAACCGGGGCCGCCCCCCCCCCGGTTGGAGCCGTGATCCCGACCCCCCCCCTTCCTCCTCCTCCTCCTCTTCCTCCTCCCGACCCCGCACCCCCGGGAGCCCCCGGAGGGTCCCCGCACCCCCCCCCGGCCGGTGCCCGGTGTCACCGACAGCACGTGTGACCTTGAGCCCCTCCACCCCGGTGACAGCCGGGACGAGCCGCGGGGACCCCCACACCGGGGGTGACACCGGGGTTGGGGGGGGGATGTCACCGGAGCCCCGCGGCGGCGACAGCGGCCGCCTTGACCTTGGGCTTCCCGCTGCCGCCTCCATTGTTCCGCCCGCGTTTTCCCTTCCCGGAGCCGCCTGTTGCGGGGGGACACGGCCTCGCCCCCCGCCACGGCCACCGGGGACCCCCCCCGGCCGGCCCGGGGGACACCCTTGGGTGGGGGGGGGTGGGTTTCTGCAGCGCGGCCCCCCCCCGTCCTCCCGGCAGGCAGCGGAAAAACCGAGTCATGTTCTGGCCGTGCCGCAGGCGCTGCCGGCCCCGGGGACCGCCGGTGTCCCCGTGCGTGGCGGCCCCGGTGGCCCCGGGGTGTGTTCCCGGGGAGTCCCCGCGGTTCCCGGTTCCCACGCGTGGGCGAGGAACAAAGTTCGGATTCCCCGGCTCAGGAAAACCGCGGCCGTGCCTGGCCGGGCGCGGCTCCAGGAAGGAGGAGAAGGCGGCCGCGTTCCCCCGGTGCCAGCGAGGGCAGCGCGGGGCCGGCCCGGCTGATCCCGGCTCTGATCCCGGCTCTGATCCCGGCTCTGATCCCGGCTCTGACCCCGGCTCGGCTGATCCCGGCTCTGAGCCGCGCCCGCGTGGGCGAGGGAAGCGGCTCCGGCGTCCTTTGGGGCCGGGGTCTCACCCGCCGCGGGGCTGGGGGGGCTCCTGTGGCTGCGCCCCCCCAGAAAGAGGCCCTGCCCTGGTGACAGGGGGGTCTCTGTGTCCCTTGTCCCACAGAATGCGCCGTGTGTCCTCTTTGCTGCTCGCCACGCCAGCGCCGCCACGGTAAGGGGGGTCCTCTGCTGTGACCCCTCTCCTGTCACCTGCTCTCTTCTGACACCTCTTCCCTGTGGCTGCCTCTCCTGAGACCCCTCTGCAAGAGGAGACCCTTCACTTGTCATCCTCTTTCCTGTCCCCGTCTCTCTCGTCACCCCTTCTGTCATGGCTTCCTCTCCTGTCACTCTTCTCCAATGAGAGTTCTCTTTCCTGTCACCCCCTTTCCTGTCACCTCTTTCCTGTCACCCCCTTTCCTGTCCCCTCTCCCCAAAAGGAGCTGCCTCTTCTATTGCCCCTTCTCCTGTCACCCCTTTTTCTGTCCCCACCTCTCTTGTCACCCCCTTTGTCACGACTTCCTCTCCTGTCACTCTTCTCTAATGAGAGTTCCCTTTCCTGTCACCCCCTTTCCTGTCACCCCCTTCCTCTGACCCCCTTTGCTGTCCCCTCTCCCCAAAAGGAGCCCCCTGTTCTCTTGCCCCTTCTCCTGTCACCCCTTTTCCTGTCCCCATCACTTTTGTCACCCCCTTTCTCATCACCCCTCTCCAGGGGGACTCCCCTCTCCTCTTTCCCTCCCTTTCCTGCCCCACATCTTCTGTCACCCCTCTCCAGGGGGACTCCCCTCTCTGTTGTCACACCTTTTCCTCGTCCCCCTTCTCCTGTCACTCTCTCAGTCACCTTTTCCCTGTCCCCCTTCTCCTGTCACCCTCTCAGTCACCTTTTCCTTGTCCCCCTTCTCCTGTCACCATCTCAGTCACCTTTTCCTTGTCCCCCCTCTGCTGTCACCCTCTCAGTCACCTTTTCCCTGTCCCCCTTCTCCTGTCCCCCCTGTGCTGCGCTCAGCCCCTCTCACAGCCCTGTCCCTTGTCCCCAGAACCTCAAAGACGTCTTGGCCACCATGATCCCCAAGGAGCAGGCCAAGATCAAGAGCTTCCGGCAGCAGCACGGCAGCACGGCCATCGGGCAGATCACGGTGGACATGGTGAGTGTGCGGCCACCCCGGGGCCACCCCGGGGCCACCCCGGTGCCACCGGGCCCCGCCGCCCCTCACCGCCACCTCCCGGCCCCTTCCAGGTGTACGGCGGCATGAGGGGCATGAAAGGGCTGATCTACGAGACCTCGGTGCTGGATCCTGATGAGGTAGGACCTGTCCCCGCCCTGTCCCCTCCCTGTCCTCTCCCTCTCCCCGCCCTGTCCCCTCCCTGTCCCCGCCCTGTCCCCTCCCGTTCCCCCCCGGTGACGCTCCCGGTGCCGCAGGGCATCCGCTTCCGTGGCTACAGCATTCCCGAGTGCCAGAAGAAGCTGCCCAAAGCCGCGGGGGGAGAGGAGCCGCTGCCCGAGGGGCTCTTCTGGCTGCTGGTGACCGGAGAGATCCCAACCCAGGAGCAGGTACTGCTGGGAGGGGGCTGGGAAAGGGCTCGGGGGGGGCTGAGAGCCCCCAGACCCAGGAGGGGCTGGCAAATGGCTGAGGAGGGGGCTGAGAGCCCCCAGACCCAGGAGGGGCTGGCAAACGGCTGAGGAGGGGGCTGAGAGCCCCCAGACCCAGGAGAGGGCTGGGAAACGGCTCGGGGGGGCTGAGAGCCCCCAGACCCAGGAGTGGGCTGGAAAACAGTTGAGAGGGTGGCTGGCAGACAGCGCTGGCAAACGGCTGAGGAGGAGGCTGAGAGCCCCCAGACCCAGGAGGGGCTGGCAAACGGCTGAGGGAGGGGGTCTGACAGCCCCTGGATCCAGGAGGAGCTGGCAAATGGCTGAGGAGGGGGCTGGCAAACAGCTCAGGGGGTCTGATGGTGGCTGGCAGACAGCTCAGGGGGTCTGACAGCCCCAGGAGGGGGCTGACAAAAAACTAAGGGGGGTCTGACAGCCCCCAGACCCCAGGAGGGGCTGGCAAACAGCTGAGGTGGGGCTGAGAGCCCCCAGACCCAGGAAGGGGCTGGCAAACAGCTGAGGGGGGGGCTGGCAAACAGTTCAGGGGGTCTGACAACCCCAGGAGGGGGCTGGCAAATGGCTAAGGGGGGTCTGACAGCCCCCACACTGAGGAGGGAGCTGGTAAACAGCTTGGGGGGGTTCTGACAGCCCCCAGAGCCAGGAGGGGGCTGGCAAACAGCCGGGGGGGTTCTGACAGCCCCCAGACCCAGGAGGGGCTGGCAAACAGCCGGGGGGGTTCTGACAGCCCCCAGCCCCGCAGCTCAGCCCCGGCGTGTCCCCGTAGGTGACCTGGCTGTCCCGAGAGTGGGCCAAGCGCGCAGCTCTGCCCTCCCACGTGGTGACCATGCTGGACAACTTCCCCACCAACCTGCACCCCATGTCCCAGCTGAGCGCCGCCGTCACCGCCCTCAACAGCGAGAGCAAGTTCGCGCGCGCCTACGCCGAGGGCATCCACCGCGCCAAGTACTGGGAGGTACGGGGGGAGCCGCTGCCCAGCGCTGACTCTGGGGGCTGGATTGGGGCGCAGGGGCTCGGGGGAGCACGGTCTCACCCCGCTGGTGCCAGTTTGTGTACGAGGACGCCATGGATCTGATCGCCAAGCTGCCGTGCGTGGCCGCCAAGATCTACCGCAACCTGTACCGCGAGGGCAGCGGCATCGGGGCCATCGACCCCAACCTCGACTGGTCCCACAACTTCACCAACATGCTGGGCTACACCGACCCGCAGTTCATCGAGCTGATGCGGCTCTACCTCACCATCCACAGGTAAGAGCTGGGAGCTGCAGCTGGAGCGGGTGGGGATGAGGAGTAGGCGGGGGTTTGGCCCCGCTCCCAGCCCGCCAGGGGCTGGGGTGGGGCTGAACCGGGCTGGCAGCACCCTGCTCCCCACCCCAAAATGCTGTGGAAGGTGTTTGGTGGGGCTGGGGGAGTCCTGATGGCCCTCTGGCCCCGGCAGTGACCACGAGGGAGGGAACGTGAGTGCCCACACGAGCCACCTCGTGGGCAGCGCCTTGTCTGACCCGTACCTCGCCTTCGCCGCCGCCATGAACGGGCTGGCCGGGCCCCTGCACGGCCTCGCCAACCAGGTGGGCACTGCTCCTGCCCGGTGTGTCTCTCTCTGTGCCCAGTGTGTCCCTCTCTCCCTGTCTGTCTGTCCCTCACTCCCTGTCTGTCACTTTCCAGGTCGCTCTGTCCATGTCCTTTTTTCTGTCTGCCCTTTTTGTTTGTCCCTCTCCCTGTCTGTCCCTCTTGTCACTGTGTCCATGTCCCTCTTCCTGTCTACCCTCATCTCTTGTCTGTCCCTCTCCCTGTCACTCTGTCCATGTCCTTCTTCCTGTCTGCCCTTCTGTCTGTCCTCATTTCTTGTCTGTCTCTCTCCCTGTCTGTCCCTCCTGTTCATGCATCCCTCTGCCTGTCCCTCTCCCTGTTGGTTTATCCCTCTCCCCATCTCCCTGTCCCTCTGTCCCTCCCCATGTCCCTCTGTCCCCCTCCCCGTGTCCCTTCCTCTGTCCTCATGTCCTTCTGTCCCCGTATCCCTCTGTCCCTCTCCCCGTATCCCTCTGTCCCTCTCCCCATGTCCCTCTGTCCCTCTCCCCATCCATGTGTCCGTGTGTCCCCGTGTCCCTCTGTCCCCCTCCCCGTGTCCCTTCCTCTGTCCTCGTGTCCTTCTGTCCCCTTCTCCATGTCCCTCTGTCCTTCTCCCCATCCATGTGTCCGTGTGTCCCCGTGTCCCTCTGTCCCTGTGTCCTTCTGTCCCTCTGTCCCCGTCCCTGCCCTCACTGGGGCCGTCCCCACAGGAGGTGCTGCTCTGGCTCACGGACCTGCAGAAGGAGCTGGGCAAGGACGTGTCGGACGAGAAGCTGCGGGATTTCATCTGGAACACGCTCAACTCGGGCAGGGTCAGCCTGGGGCCGTGCTGGGGCTGTGGGCTCAGGGGTTATAGAGCTCGGGGGTTTCAGGGCTCAGGAGCCATTCTGGGGCTCAGGGGCCATTCTGGGGCTCAGGGGCTGTTCTGGGGCTCAGGGGCTGTTCTGGGGCCCAGGGGCGGTTCCAGGACCCAGGGGCCATGCTGGGGCTCAGGGGTTCCAGAGCTCAGGGACTGTTCTGGGACTCAGGGGTTCCAAAGTTCAGGGGCTGTTCCAGGGCTCAGAGGTTCCGGGGTTCAGGGGCCATGCTGGGGCTCAGGGTTCCAGGGTTCAGAGGCTGTTACAGAGCTCAGGGGCCGTTCCAGGGCCCAGGGGTTCCAAAGTTTAGGGGTTCCAGGACTCAGGGGTTATAGAGCTCGGGGGTTCTGGGGCTCAGGGGCTGTTCCAGGGCTCAGGGGCTGTTCCAGGACTCAGGGGTTATAGAGCTCGGGGGTTCTGGGGCTCAGGGGCTGTTCCAGGGCTCAGGGGCTGTTCCAGGACTCAGGGGTTATAGAGCTCGGGGGTTCTGGGGCTCAGGGGCTGTTCCAGGGCTCAGGGGCTGTTCCAGGACTCAGGGGTTATAGAGCTCGGGGGTTCTGGGGCTCAGGGGCTGTTCCAGGGCTCAGGGGCTGTTCCAGGACTCAGGGGTTATAGAGCTCGGGGGTTCTGGGGCTCAGGGGCTGTTCCAGGGCTCAGGGGCTGTTCCAGGACTCAGGGGTTCCAGAGTTCAGGGGTTCCAGGGCTCAGGGGCCATCCCATATAGAGCTCGGGGGTTCTGGGGCTCAGGGGCTGTTCCAGGGCTCAGGGGCTGTTCCAGGACTCAGGGGTTATAGAGCTCGGGGGTTCCAGGGCTCAGGGGCCATTCTGGGGCTCAGGGGCTGTTCAGGGCTCAGGGATTCCAAAGTTCAGGGGTTCCAGGCCTCAGGGGCTGTTCCAGAGCTCAGGGGTTCTAGATTTCAGGGGTTGCAGGGCTCAGGGGCTGTTCTGGGGCTCAGGGGGTGTTCCAGGGCTCAGTGGTTCCAAAGTTCAGGGGTTCCAGGACTCAGGGATTCTAGATTTCAGGGGTTCCAGGGCTCAGGGGCCATTCCAGGGCTCAGGGGCCGTTTCAGGGCCCCCGAGCAGGTTCTGAGCCCCGTCCCTGCAGGTGGTGCCGGGCTACGGGCACGCGGTGCTGCGGAAGACGGACCCTCGCTACACCTGCCAGCGCGAGTTCGCCCTCAAGCACCTGCCCAAGGACCCCCTGTTCAAGCTGGTGGCACAGCTCTACAAGATCGTCCCCAACGTGCTGCTGGAGCAGGGCAAGGCCAAGAACCCCTGGCCCAACGTGGATGCCCACAGCGGGGTCCTGCTGCAGGTGAGCCCGGGCTCCTCTGGCCCTTTCCTGGCTGTGTCCTTCTGTCCTGTCTGTCCCTTTTCCTGTTAGTCTGTGCTTTTCCCTGTCCGTGTATCCCTTTGCATGTCCACATCCCTCTCCCTGTTGTGTCTGTCCCTCCTCCTGTCTGTGTGTCCCTATCCCTGTGTCACTCTCTCTGTTCTCCTTCCTCTGTGTGTGTCCCTCTCCCTGTCCTGTGTGTCCCTCTCCCTGTCTGTCCCTCCTCCTGTCCATGTGTCCCTCTCCCTGTCCATGTGTCACTCTGTTTTCCATTCTGTGCCTCTCCCTCTCTGTCTGTCCCTTGCCCTGTCTGTCCTTCTCCCTGTCCTGTGTGTCCCTCTCCCTGTGTCCCTCTCCGTCTGTCTGTCCCTTGTCCTGTGCGTCCTTCTCCCTGTGTGTCCCTCTCTCCATTCTCCTTTCTGTCTGTCCCTCTCCCTGTCCTGTGTGTCCCTTGTCCTGTCTGTCTGTCCCTTGCCCTGTCTGTCCCTCTCTGTCCCTCTCCCTGTCCTGTGTGTCCCTTGTCCTGTCTGTCCCTCTCTCTGTCCCTCTCCCTGTCCTGTCCATCCCTTCCCCTTTCCCACCCTCCCTCTCCCAGCCCGTTCCTCTCCCCCTCCCTCCCTCTCCTTGTCCCTTCTCCTTCCCTGCCTGTCCCTGTCTGTGCCCCGGGGGTCTCCCGGGGGTCTCTGGGGGTCTCTGGGGGTCTCTGGGGGTCTCCCTGCCCACCCGCCCGCTGTCCCCGCAGTACTACGGCATGAAGGAGATGAATTACTACACGGTGCTCTTCGGGGTGTCGCGGGCCCTTCCCTGTCCTGTGTGTCCCTCTCCCTGTGTCCCTCTCCGTCTGCCTGTCCCTTGTCCTGTGCGTCCTTCTCCCTGTGTGTCCCTCTCTCCATTCTCCTTTCTGTCTGTCCCTCTCCCTGTCTGTCTGTCCCTTGTCCTGTCTGTCCCTCTCCCTGTCCTGTGTGTCCCTTGTCCTGTCTGTCTGTCCCTTGTCCTGTCTGTCCCTCTCTCTGTCCCTCTCCCTGTCCTGTCCATCCCTTCCCCTTTCCCACCCTCCCTCTCCCAGCCCGTTCCTCTCCCCCTCCCTCCCTTCTCCTTCCCTGCCTGTCCCTGTCTGTGCCCTGGGGGTCTCCCGGGGGTCTCTGGGGGTCTCCCGGGGGTCTCTGGGGGTCTCTGGGGGTCTCCGGGGGTCTCCCTGCCCACCCGCCCGCTGTCCCCGCAGTACTACGGCATGAAGGAGATGAATTACTACACGGTGCTCTTCGGGGTGTCGCGGGCCCTGGGCGTCCTGTCCCAGCTCATCTGGAGCCGCGCCCTGGGCTTCCCCCTGGAGAGACCCAAATCCATGAGCACCAAGGGCCTCATGCAGCTCGTGGGGTACAAATCCCCCTAAAGAAGGGACGGGGACAGGGCTCCCCCAGGGAACGCCGCGCTGCCGGGCCCGGCCCGGCCACCCTCGGCACTGAACCCCCCTCGGGGCCCCCCCGGCTGCCCCCCACCCGCCCTGGGGAGGGGCAGAGGCAGCCCTGGGGTCCCCCCCTCATCCTCACCCCCAGATCCCCCGCCCTGGTGGGGTGGGGGGGCTCCCTGTGCCCCCTCCCCACCCCAGCAGCTCTCACTGCGCACACTGGGAGCCCCCCCCGGGCTCCCCCACTGCTGGGCTGGGGGTCCTGGGGGGGGTGCAGCCCCCCCGAGAGGGGTTCAGTCCAGCCCCGTGTCCGGGCCCCCCGCAGGGACTCGATACACTCCTCTCCTCCCCGGCCGCGCCCCCGTGTTTGTGTGACCCCCCCCCCCCCCCCAATAAAGCCCCCTCCCCACCTCCCGGAGCACGGCGGGGCCCAGGCACCGGAGCTGCCCCCACCGGGGCCCTCCAGCCTGGCTGAGGACTTTAAAAAGAACCAAAAAAAAGGGTTAAAATAAAATAAAATTTAAAAAAAACAACAAAACGAGAAACCCAACAAAAAAAAAAATCAAGAACTAAACCAAAACTTCAAAACTTAAAACCCCAAATCAGCTGCAAAAGCAGCTCCTGGGCCCGGGGGCTCACGGCAGCCCCGGGGGGCGTTGAGGCATCAGCAGCGGAAACGCACTTCTTGAATAAATATTTTTTGGGGGGAGTGGGTGGGCTCGGGGCGGGCCCGGCACAGTCCGGGGGTGCCCGGCCCGGCCTCCCTCACGTCTGGTGCACCTCGTGGAACATCAGCTCCCGGGGGATGCGGGTCTCGGGCCCGAAGTTTTTGGCCGCGCGGCGCTCGAAGGCGGCCACCATCTGCTTGACCACCTCGTCGAAGAACACGGTGGCCAGCTGGGAGTGCAGCAGGGAGCGGAACTCGAAGGAGATCTGAGGAGGAGGAGGAGGAGGTGAGGCCGGGCGGGCGAGCCCCGCCTTCCCCGGGGGCAGCCGGGCCGGGCTCGTACCGAGAAATCCACGGTGCTGGTGCGGGGGTAGCCGGGGATGCCGGGGCTGAAGCGCCAGTTGGTCTCCAGGTGGTTGAAGAGGCGCCCGTCGGTGCAGACGGCCTGGGGAGGGGAAAAGGGGGGCTCAGGGGGGCTCTGGGATCCACCGGGATCCAGGAATCCTCGAGGATGGAAAAGCCCCCTGGATCCAGCCCAGCCTGGGCAGCTCCGGGGATGGGGAGTGCGAAATTCCCTGGGAACTGCAAAGCCTGAGAGCCCCTTCCATGGGGAAATTCCAGCCTGATCTCCCCTGGAACAACCTGAGGCTGTTTTCCTTCCCCGGGAGCAGATCCTGACCCTGCTCTCCCCTCAGGGAGTGAAATTCCCCTCTGAGCCTCCTTTTCTCCAGGCACTTCCAAAGCCTGACCACCTTTTATTCCTCCTGATGTCCCCCCTGAGCCTCTCCTGGAGGAATTTGGGGCTGTTCCTTCTCCTCCTGCTGTTCCTGGGAGCAGATCCTGACCCTGCTCTCCCCTCAGGGAGTTGTGGGTGTTGTGAAAATTCCCCTCTGAGCCTCCTTCCCTCCAGGCAGCTCCAAACCCTGACCACTTCTCCATGAGGAAATTCCTCCTCATGTCCATCCTGAGCCTCTCCTGGCACAGCTCGGGGCCGTTTCCTCCTGTGCTGTTATTCCCTGGGAGAAGAGGCCAATTCCTACCTGGCTATGACTACAATTTTCCCTAAAAAACTGCAAATTCCCCCCAAAGTCAGGGCAGGGCTCTGTTCCCTCTCCCCCTGGTGTTCCCTGGGAGCAGAGCCCGACCCTGCTCTCCTGTCAGAGACTTGTGGGGTGAAAATTCCCCTCTGAGCCTCCTTTTCTCCAGGCAGTTCCAAAGCCTGACCACTTTTCCATGAGGAAATTGCTCATGTCCACCCTGAGCCTCTCCTGGAGGAATTTGGGGCTGTCCCCTCTCATTCTGGTGTTCCCTGGGAGCAGATCCTGACCCTGCTCTCCCCTCAGGGAGCTGTGGGGTGAAAAGGTCCCTCCTGAGCCTCCTTCCCTCCAGGCTGAGCCCTTCCCCAGCTCCCCAGGGCTGCTCCAGCCCCCTCCCCAGCTGCCCCAGCCCTTCCCCAGCTCCCCAGGGCTCTCCAGCCCCTTCTCCTGCTGCCCCAGCCCTTCCCCAGCTCTGGCCACGCTCCATCCCCTCGATGTCTCCGTGGCCAGGAGGGCCCAGGGCTGGAGCCGGCACTGGAGGGGCCCCAGCAGTGCCAGCCCAGGGGGACAATCCCTGTCCCCAAGGCTGGGACAGCCCAGGTGCCATCCTGGCCACACCTGGGCTCTGTCCAGCTGCACCCCCAGGGCCTTTCCCAGCTTTCCAGCCCCTCTCCCCCAGCCTGGAGTGTTCCATGGGGTTGGTGGTGCCTTGTTGACCCACTGGCCTCAGCCCATCGTGCCCTCCAGCAGATCAACATCCCACCCAAACTGCTGCCATCCACAAACCAAGGCGCCACGGATAAAGACACCACACAGGGCAGTCTGTCCCTGCCATGGCACGTGTCCATCCAGCACCAGCTGCCCCAGCCAGGTGTGAACCCCAAGGAGCTCACCTGCCCCAAGGCTTCACTGGAGCCTCTCCCTCAGCCCTGCTCCCCACCCCTGCTGCAGGGCAGGGAGGAGCCCCCCTGAAGGGAACCCTGAGGGGATGAAGGGGTGACTCTGACTGAGCTGACCTGGGCTGCTGTCCAGGCAGCCTTTGGGACAGGAAGGAAAGGAGGGAACGGGCAGGTGGTGTTCCAGGACGGGCTATCAGCACCGGGATCTTCCCGGGAGGAAGGCTCCACCCTGGGGCCATGAAGGGCGAGCAGCAAAGCACCACGGAGCAGAGATTTCACCAACAATAAGCCACAACTTTATTAACCGATAGAAATAGTACAAATTTTAAATTTAGTCGTATTTTACTCTTCTCTCTGAAACACCAAAAAAGGCTCCTCCCTCCGGCGGCTACATCGTCAGCTCCTGCGGGGAGAAAGGGAGTCAGGAGGCAGCCCAGAGGCAGCAGCTGCCCCCAGGGACCCCCCAAAGCTGCTGCCCCCCCAGCACTCACCATTATGGCGTTTACAATGTCGTTGCTGTTGTTCTTGAGGGCTCGCACGGCCTTGGCCCGCGACACGTTCGCCTGCGACATCACCAGCTCGATGTCTTTCACCTCCACGCCGGTTTCGTCAACCTGGAGGAGGAACAGAGCCCAGGATTGGTGCCAGTTCCAAGCTTGGTACCAGTTCCAGGCTTGGCACGGGCTGGGATTAGACTGGAAGCCAGGGCAGGCCTGTGCTGTCAACACCGCCAGGGCAGCACCCTGTGCTCTCCCTTTGCACGGATGAAGGAGAGGAATTTGTGGATGAACCCAAAGCACGACTGGGGAAGGCCTTACCTCCTCTTCCTCGCTCTCCTCCTGCACCGTGGGGGTCTGTGTGTTTTCCTGGATGTTGGAAACAGGTTCTCCCTGCACTTTGAACTTTTCGGCAGCTGCCAGCTGAGCCTGCTGGGACAGGTCTTCGATCTGCAGGAGGGAAGGGAAGGGAAGGAGCAGTGAGGGCAGCCCTGGGCAGTGCCAGCACGCTGCCTGGCAGCAGCCACACGCTGCACAGGTGACAGGAAGGAGCCCTGCCCTGCTGGCGCCAGGGTGGGCTCACCTTGGCCTCGCCAAAGACGATGTAGGTGTCTGACGCCGGGCTCTTGTACACGTCTGGCTTTGTGATGACAAAGAGGATGTTCTTGGATTTCCGGATGGTGACTCTGGTGACTCCTGTCACCTGGCGAAGGCCCAGCTTGGACATTGCCTGAAAAACACCAGGGAAAGGTCAGTGAGGGAAGAAGAGCTCTGCAGCCAGCCCAGCTGTGCCAACTCCTCTCTCCAAAATGCCACATTTGCTGCATGGAACACACGGAAATGTGCATCTGCTGCCACGGAGCAGCACCCCCGGGCTGCCAGCTGCAGGGAACACTCCAGTGCAGGCCTGGTGAGATCCCCAGAGCCCTGGGGCTGCTCTCCAGGCACAGTGCAGCCTCACCTTGCGAGCTTTCTTCTCGCTCCGGCTCTGTTTTGCTTTGCTGACGGGTTCTTCGTCTATCTCGGCTGCTGCCGCGAGCTGCAGGGAGGGAAAACCAGAGAGAAAACCAGAGGGATCCGTGACCATGCTGGGGTGACACCGCAGGGACTCTGATCCACCGTGTGCCACCTGCCCTACCTGTGCCTGCTGCGTCGTGGCCTGTGTGGAGTCCTGCTCTTCGAGCTCTGGTACGGATTCATCGCTGTCAGACTCTGTGCCAGACCCTGCAGAGACACACAGCCCTCACTCTTCCCACCCCAGGTAGGTCCAGGGCTGCTGGTTTGCTGCTGCTTCCCAGTGAAGCCACCAGTCAGCCCAGTTAGGTGGTGCTTGGAGCATTCCTTGCACTCTGAATGCCATCAGCAGGGTGGCACGAGTGGGTCCTCAGCCTCGTCGTGGTGGGAGCTGG